CTTGAAGCTCACCTCACTGACCTCTCTACCCAATTAGAAATTAGGTTTAAATTGTGGAGAACGTAAACACCCTAAGGTACCCACAAATCAGAGGTGCACTGTTTTGTACTTGAAGCTCGCCTCATTGACCTCACTACCCAGCTAGAAATTAGGTTTAAATTGGGGAGAACGAGAGCATAGATAGATATCGCTTTGTATCTACATGTCTTGTACGTGTTGCATCTACCTTTCGGCGCTCTCATCATGCAATGAATGCACGTGATGATGACGATAACTGTAGAGGGTTACATCAATAGCAACTCTCCAAATTGTGAAGAAATACTAGCTATTTTTCTCTTTGTACGTTTCGTTTTCATCATGCAATGCGATTTAATTATTGAAACTGTCTATATTTTCTGTTACTCATCCGTCTTTGTAAACAACCAAATCAGGAATCATTTAACCATTGAATTGATACGAAATAATATAAATGAAGAAATTAATATTTTAATACAAGCGACATTGAAAAAGCATGAATCAAATGTAGTCATCCATTGATTGAACCCTAATATCCCAGTGGGCATTCCCCCGAACTGTGTATTGTGTATAATTGGTTGCATGATGGGGGAGACTGGAGAGTGATCGGTGATGAGTTGATGCCTTGATGGTGTTGATGCATTGCATTTAGTTATCTGTGTTGGATTTTTCTGTTTCTGTAATCTGGACAACAGAGTAAGGAAAGCTGCAGTAGCTGCTTTGACTGTATTGGGGGGAAGAGTAAGAGCAGTAACTCAGAGAGAGAGAGAGAGAGAGAGTGGGCGGGGCTTAAAGCTCAGGTGTCTCAGGCCTCACAGATGCCTCCAGATAAAGGTAGGTCCCCCTTGTGGCTTGAGAGAAGATTGATTTGAAACCCTTTTGTTTTCCAGTCTGGTTGTGGTGAGACTGTACCTGTTGAGAGAGAGAGAGAGAGAGAGAGAGAGAGAGAGAGAGAGCGCACTGTAAATCATCAGCTGCTCAGCCCACTGTAATTTCACTGTTTGTTGTCATTTTCCTCTGATTTATCACGTGAGTTTTTTTACCACTGCATGATTGTGTGTATATCTCTCTCTCTCTCTCTCTCTCTAAACAGTTACAGTATTACAAGAACCAGACTGGAAAAGAATGAGGGCCTACCGTCTTTGCCATATAAGGCAAGCTCCTGTCCTCTTCTCCCCCTTCCGTATTCTGCTTTTACTTTTTTCACCCAGTTATTATTCTTCTTTGCAAAAATAATCTGGAAAGAGTTGGAACTTTGAAGGGTAAAAGAGATTTTGAATGGTGAAAAAAATACGACGTTTGTTTTTACTACTATATAATGTCAGACAGACGCGTATGAAGGCCTGCTGTCTTTGGAATATATGGTAAGACATGCAAATGCAATGGTATTTGAACATATGTTTTTGGCCCCTTCTTGTTCCTATAAAGACAAATTTGTGTCTGATATTTCTGTTTAGAATTTACATTACATTTTTTTCCTTCTTGTTCCCATAAGGCCAGGTTACGGTGCTCAATTGCGCGTTAACTTAGAACCACAAAGGGTGTTGATCGATTAAAACAGCAGGACGGTGGTTATGGAAGTCAAAATCCACATGTTTTTGGTCTGATATGTTATTAAAATCTGGACTTGATGACATACTATTCTCTTTATCCATGTAGTCTTGGAACTACATGAAGCAGTATCGGAATTTTAGTCCTTGAATCAAATTGTATACTAAAATAGAGTCGTTGGCCTTCAAAAATGCATATGTAGGAGTTGAAACTCGAATTGGAAGTTCCAAACTTTTGCTCGCTTTTCACTAGACCAAAATGAAGATTACAGAATTTTAATTAGATAGGCTTGGGCCTACCAATTTTGGGCTCCTGCTATCGTTTTTGGCCCAATAGAATTTTAACTCGAGTTTAGCATGTGTAGGGCTGACCCTTAATTGGCACACGACTAGAATTATTTTTCTATGTCATGTACTAGTTCCATTATCCCGAGTTAATAGGAAACACAAGGATGCTTGCGCTTTCTGAACGGTAAATTACAGGAAATGGAGGAGACCTGAGATTGGAAATTAGATGTGAAGTCCATAGCAATGGCAGGTGCGACTATAGCTTTGGAGAAATTTTTAAATACGATCGTCATAGCAACACATACGTCGAAATATTACATTACAAAAAAGATTATCACAAAACTTGCAAGTACAATGCTGATCTGATACTGGCTCACTTTGGCATGCTCTTTTCTTGCAGAAACGGTTGTACTTGTTTCCAGCATCTTTGGTTGTCTAACAATAGTTGTTAATTACCCTGGTATCACCTTGTATACTTGAACCCTTTTTGGAGGATTATAATTGTTCTGAAAGCGCAACCAAATCTTGAGACGTTTAGAAGGACCGTGAATAGTTTGAAACAGCTGGTGAGTGCAGGTAGAAGGGGACTGCAAGGTGGTCAAAATTCCGGGTTGGTTGCAAAGGGCGACCCAAGTTATAGAGGATGATACTGGTCACAGTATAAAACTTTGAGAGAAATCGAAGAGAGAATCGCAAAGTTGAACGGACTGCATGCGGAGCGGAGGGTAGAGTGTTCACTAGCGCAGTGGGGAATCCGATGTGGTGGTATACGTCAAAGACACCACAAGACTGCACGGCAGGACAGCGAGTATCGTTGAAGAGGTTAACAAGCATGTGATGGCAAAGGAGGTAGGGACGACACATGTTTATGGAATGGCTGGTTCCGGCAAGACAGCGGTTGTGTCGAGACTCGAAAGCCAATAACTTTACAGTGAGTGAGTACTGCAAAGTATTACTGCGTCCTGAGATGGCAGTACTAATAACAACGACGGAAATGGCGAAGAACGTATTGCGTTAACCCGAGATTGTGTCATACATTCTGCTAGGTGATACATTTACAGAAGAACATTAACTTCTGAATAAAAATATTTGAGGCTTTTCATTCACGCACATATTTTTTAAACCACATGATGTGATATGACGTGACATGCTATTTATTTTGATTCTAGACCTCCGAACTAATAATCACCAAATAATCACCTTCATACCGCGATACCGAATTCAATTTTTTCTCTCAGGTATGAGTATGTTCGGAAGGATAGAGCATCCATGTGGCTTGGCTACTAAAACACCTCATCCAGTTTCTGCCCAAGATGGCCAAATTCTTAGTCAAGTATTCGACGCAGGCAAAACGCGAAGGTTGTCCCGTGCAGTACCATTACTATGCTTTATATTTCTGCAGATAACTATGAAATCCATAAAACACTTCATATACCAAGATACAGGTTAACATGTGTGTACAAAACAACAGCAAACTAATCTTTGACTAAAATTACAAAAACGCTTTGTTCCTTTTCCATCTTGCAACTGCCTTGTGTGTTCTCGTTTTCAAGCCAGTAAACGATTAAGATTTACTGTTGCTGAATTATCATCTATTACTTTGAAGTTCAAGTATGAGAACTACATCAAGGCATCTAAGATGTTTTACGAAAACAGCAATACAATCAGAATAACTAAAAAGGTTAACTGTATGTGCTTGCATCCATGTATAACTAAAATATTGAGGATTCTTGGTATGTTCTACAAATTTATGTGCAAGATTCGAAGTTATATTTCTGTTTTCTTTCCATAAAAAGTAAAGAAACGTGTAGTACCTTTCGAGAAACAACTATACTACTGCAGGTCCTGAATGTTCTGCGGCCGTTTTATCTGCACATTAAATTCAAAAACAAACTAATATTTTGTAATCCGAAGGTATTTCTTCACTCATGTTTCAAAAGTTATGCAAATGCTCGTCCAAACGCGTAAGACTTCAAAGTGAGAAAACGAGAAATCAACTTTTTTCTTCTAACATGACATGCTCCCATGTCTTGTAAATAGCTAACGGAAAATAGCACATTAATCTAATCACCATTAGTCGACGAACAATAAATTGAAAGAAGCACAGATCGGACAACCTATGACTCATTTCTTCTTCTTGACAAGCACCTTCCATGACATATGTCAACATTAATTTGCTTCGAAATGTTTCGAAATTGGAGGTCTGCATGAAATCCTCATACTTTCGAAGGTGTACTAATCATAATGTGAACGCAAAACCAATGAATCAGCATCTCTAATCCATTGATTTATACTTAGGAATTACGATTACCTCGATCACACAAGTAACTCCTCCTACTCCCATTACCACTCAATCGTCTCAGCATGCTCATTTCAGAGAAACCAAAATGTCTCGGAAGGGCGTAAAATTTTGGTACCACAGATAACAACATTAACCAAAACGTTACTTTTTTGTAAATACCATGTTGCTGTTGCTGCTGATGCTGATTTGGAACACCGACAAACAGCATTCTGTCGATGTTATCAAGCCGGCGCTGTACGGACTTGAGAACCGAATTCAACGACGAAACTCTCTTCCTAACGGCGGAAATCTTGGCGGCCTGTTGCATGATGAACGAAACAGCGCAGCGTCCAACAACTTATCCAGCTCTGCCCACAAGACCAAAACAAAGAGTAAATATCAAAATTACCAACAAAATTCAATATTTCAGAAGAAAAAGGAGGGATTTTTTCAACTTTTTTTTTATTTTTATTTTTTATTTACCGCGGGTGAGGCGATGGAGCGACTGAGAGTGGTGATCCTGGCTGGCGAAGGTCTGCTGAGCTTTGTAATCGAAGTCTTTGATGACGGTGGTGAGCATCGACGAAAGCGCCTTTGCCTCCGTCGACTGTAATCTGTTCTTCGCGTTCTCGTTCTGGTTCACAGTCACACTCGTCTCCTCTGATGACTCCAGCTCGGTTTTCTGGCTTTCCATTTTCTCAGCTTCACCAATGAGTTGATTGATAGATTTTCTCACTTATTTTCCTATTAGTTTTCTCAGCAGCCAAACAGAAAATTAAATTTAAAAGTTGGGTTATTGGTTACCCGGCTTTTTCCATTTTGGGCCTAAGTTAAACAGTATTTCCCCATTCTGGGCTTCCTGGCCCATGACCACATCTACAAGAAGCAGCACAGAGATTAGGGTTCATAGAGTCTTCAGACTCATCAGAAACCCTGTAGTTTTCATCTGCAGACGTCGCGGCCATCGTTCTGGTATCACAGTAGCAGCATTTCCCATCGATCATGAGGGCCAAGGTAAATCATCAACACCCTCTTCTTAAATCTTTCTATTTTCAACCTTGAATTCTATGGGTTCTCTTTGTTTCCGTGTTCGAATCGAAAAATCTATCAAATCTGCCGGTGATGGTTGAATGAATTGCGTGCGGTGGTTGTGATTAAACTGTATTGTTTTATTGCCATCAGTTGTTTCAGTGGAAGAAGAAGCGCATGAGGAGACTGAAGAGGAAGCGCCGAAAGATGAGGCAGAGATCCAAGTAGCCGCCTTTTGCTCCGTCGTCCGCATCGCCGCCTTCTCATGCGGTGAGCTAACCCGTGTGAGGTTGTTTTGTAGACTGGAGGTTGCTCGTGAGGGTTTATTACTCTGAATTTCGGTTTTAGTAGTTTCGGGATTATAACTATGTGGATGTTAATGTTCTTATGACTGGTTGAACTCTGCTTCTAATTACATAATTAAGTATCGATTTCGTTAAATTGCAATGGCTTCTACTTGCTTTGATGTTTTTCGACCTTGATTTCCTCTGTTATTTTTTGTTCTAAGTTGAATGATTGTGTTGTTATGATGCAATGTGGATCCTGGGTCGTATTAGTTGTCAAAGTTTAGAGCTTTTGTATCCTCTGCTCGACCTGGGATCGTATATGATGCATTGTTTTGTGCCCATTAGATTTAGTTATTTAGATTTTAGAACACATAAACAAGGTCTCTATGATTCATTGGCCACCCTGCAAAACCAGGACTTGTCCCCGGACACCATCAGCAGGTTCCTTGGTCCTGGTTTCTTCTCTCTATCAGTTGTTTATGTTTTCCGGTGTCAAGCTGAAAAAAAAAAAAATCCTAGGCGTTTAGTATTTTAGTCTCGCAACTGCTTTCCTCTGTCACCATTCCCGGCCATCACCATTTGGCTATCTGCTCGGTAACTTATCCAATCATACCTTCACAGCAGCAAATGGATTTTTTCTTTCACCATTCATGCATAATCGTCTCAAGCCTCCGAGAGTTTTTCAAAATTTTAGATTTGCAAAAACCCAGTTTGGTTGCTAACAAGTCGTAGGTATCAGGTAAGTGGGGATGTTTGGGTTATGTCATGTATCTGATTTATCCGAGTTGATCTTGAACTATGGTCCAACTTATATTGGTTCCGTTGTGCATGGATTCGCATTTCTTCACCCCGGTGAAAGAGGTCCTCAGTTTGAATGCCAGTCTCTCGTACTAGGCCTTTGAAGTTCACAACTGCGTAAACATTCATGATATCAGAGTTTCTGCCAAACAATTACTTCTTTGCATGAAATAACTATATGCATTACAGCTCTTTGACGATAAATATATTTGCCTCTGCGCTGAGTTTCAACACGAGAAAACCCGATACACAATCTTCAGAGCAATGCTCTTTCAGAAAAAAAAACAGAATCATGCATGTGGTTTGAAACAGATCTCAGAGGAACAGTTAGACTCAATTTACAAAAGGAAACCGGAGTTACAGCCCTTCATAAAATAATTAGCTTCTAGCAAATGAGGATACAGAGTGTAGGGCGTAGGGCAAAAACTTCTTGTCTGAACTCGTTCTACGCCCATTTCCAAATCCTGTATCGATGGATATTCACAACAAAAGATTCAAACCGCCCTCTGAGTTTCCCAAACTTCTTGCTCCTCTCCTTTAACAGTGTTTCCTTTTCGTTTTCCTTCGAGTTTCTAACTCGGTAAATCCTCAAAATCATACTGCATGATCAATCTTTCCACTGTATTCGAACTCATAACATGTCGCAGGTGCAACTCTTTTAAGACTCTGGCTGCCAGTTCTAGTTCTCCTTCGTGCGCAATTCCTTCCACCAGAATAGTGTAGGTCATCTCATTAGGCATACGCCCCTTCTCGATCATCATCTCAAAAACCTGGAAGGACAAGTCTGTTCTTCGCGATTTGCAAAAACCGAGTATAAGAGCATTGAAATTGTCAGTATCAGGCCTAACGTTGTTTTCTTCCATTACCTTGAAAATCTCCATCGCCTCATCAAGCATACCCTCCAAACACAACCCTCTGATCAGAGATGAATACGTATAAGAATCCGGCAGTGAAACCATGCTTGGTCATTTCGTACAATATCTGAAACGCTGGAAACGTGTTTCCTTTGCGACACAAACTGGAGATTACGTTGTTGTAGAACTCGAAACTGGAGAACTTTTGTTTATTACAGAGGCTTTGAATGATAGAGAATGCCTCTGGCACCAAACCTCTCTCACAGAGCACAGCAATGGCATTGAATGTTCCCTCATTAGGATTGCACCGCCGATGAATCATTTGGTCTAGACACTTCACCGCACCATCTACATTCCCCTCTTTGCAGAGACGAGCAATGATCGGATTGTAGCTGGCAGCGGTAGGTTTGAAACGACCTCTCAGCATTTCGTCCAAAACTCCAACAGCATGCTCAGTTCTACCATGAAGTGCAAGTGAACCGATTAAGATGTTATACGTAACTATGGAAGGAGCCCGGTCCTCGCCTTCCATCTCAGACAGAAGCACATTCGCCTCTTCCCACCTTCCCTCGTAACACAAGCTCCTCAACACGATGTTATAGCTCACAACATTTGGATCGAACCCCATTGAAGGCAAACTCCTAAAGAACCGCAACGCCTCATCAGTCCTACCTTCCTTACACAAGCCAGTTAACAAGACATTGTAACTTACCAAATTAGGCTTTCCACCTTTAGCAATTATCTCCTGCAGGAGCTTCATGGCTTCATTGACACCTCTTTCCTTATAAGCAGCTTCCAGCAAGAAAGAGTACGTATAAACATTCGGAACCAACCCCTTCTGTATCAGTCTATCCAAAAGCTGCAAGCTCTGATTCAAGTTTCCGCGCACGCAAAGCCCTCTAACGAGCGAATTGTAGGTCACAGTATTCGTCGGATATCCATACTCCTCCATCTTCTCTACCAGCTGCATTGCATACCCAATGTTCCCTCTTTTACACAAGTAATTCACCAAGAAAGTATAAGAAGCTGCATCAGGTATAATGCCGGAAACAACCATCATTTCGATGACTCTGACCGCCTTTCGCATCTTATTCGCCTTGCAGAGGTCATACAAGAGCTGAGTTGCCTGAGCCACATCAGGCTTCTGGCCCTTCCCCACCATAGACTCCAAGTGCAGAAAGGCATCAATGAGTCTGAGCTCCCTACTTCTTCTGTCATTCTTGGCATGCCTCCAGTTGGGCAAGGTGAAAACCGTCTCTTTCGGAGAAATCGTGATCTGGGTAGTCGCCTAAAACTCTGGAAAAGCCCTTGCTAAGTGAAAGGGGTTGGAGATTCCTGATGTGGGAGAAGAATCCACAAGTCTTTCTGGTGGCTTCTGGCGATGGGTGTCCAATTGGAGACACTGAATTTACAAGAACCGCCATTGACAGAGCTAAATATGCTACAAAGATTGAAACTTTTGCAACAGATAACAAAAATTAAAATTCTGGGTTGGTTAAATTCTCATCAGATGAACATAAACAAATGGATTACCGAATGTTTTTTCAGGATGAGCACGGATAGCTTTAACACGAATTAATCAAAAAACCGAGAGATGAATAAGAAATGGAGAAAGGGGAAGAATCAACCAGCTGCTGGCTTTTTTCAGGAGTGATTGGTTGGTCCATTTACTATCTCACTGCTAAAAGTTTGAGCCTTTTCCATTTGTAATCTGGTAACTGGTAATATATGTAGAGTTAGAACTTACAATTGCTTATGTTTCACATTGCTCCGTTTCTTCCGCTGTCCATTCCCGTCCCGTCACTTTGTTATCCAAATAAGTTAAGGGGGTGACTTCACATCCACACGCTTTTTGACCAGCTTGTCAGGCACGCTCTCTCTTGTTCGTTATCAGTGATTCAGGATTTTAAAATTAAGTAGATCTAATTAAGGTTTGCTAGGTGTTAGTCGAGTGGCGGATTAGGACCTAGCGTCTACTGCTTCTCGACGGAGCTTAGACAGAGGTCTAAACAAACTAAACGAATTTAAGTAAATTTATTGTATATCAAATATATACGTACCTAATTGGACAACAATTAAAGAACAAAAAAAGAAAATGAAAAATGGGGAGTACTTTCTTCTTCATTGGAACCAAGCTCCAAGATCAGCAGAGCTTTGGTGGTCTGCTCTGTGTTTCTCTTCGTCTGAAATTAGATATTTCTTCTTGGTTCAAAACTTCTGTTGCACATCATCTGCACAACCATAGTGGTTTTCTCTTTCCCACCACCTGCCCAAACCATTGGGTGGTCCTCGCAGGTCCTCACAGGTGCTTCTTCGGACTTCTGGGTGGTCTCGTGATCACTCGGATTCATGAATGGATCCGTCCCTGTTCTTGACTCCCAAGTTTGTTGATTTTTATTAAAAAATTGAGTGCCTTTATTTGATACCAATTTCCTTGCATGAGTAGGAACTCAAGAATCAAAACGATTTTAATTTTTATTCCTTGTAAGTAAGCATATCCTTAGTGGAAGTGATGAAGGTAAATTTATCTCCTATTTTCTAAGTAAAGGTGATACGGTGAAAAGACCGATTAATGCGACCTTATTAAAGGGAATATTTAGGACATAAAAGCCTACGATAACTCGTCCTTGGTTGCCAGATCTACGAGGATTTCAATTTGACGAATCAACCTGTAATTTGAAGATAAAATGAGGAAGAAGATTGATGGGAACTCCTACTCTTGACTATTTTTGTGATCCCTAAGTGGGATTTCCAATCATCCATCCCTTTTGTTTTCTAAAGGAGTGGATGTTTTGTACGAGTGTTTAACAAGTGAACTGTAAAAGAGTGAACTAATTATCAGATCGACAAAATTGTACAAATGATATGTCAAGACCATATTGTTCATTGGTAATGAATTTATGCTTCCAGTTTATCTTTGAATAAATTGATCATAAACGACATTACCGAGCTTGTTCGGTCGCTACCCACCGAAAATCTTATTCACCGAAAATATCGACAAATTTCATCTACGAATTTGCTACAAGATCTTGTTAGAACCGAGCTATTTGTGTTCGACACCAATCCAGCTCGTTTATTTTTCATTCGTCCTATCAACATATTCTCAGAGCATCCGTATGCACCCTTAGGATGACATTGCCCATAGATTTACGACATTTAATATTCCAATATTTGTCTTTGGGGAAACAAAGTGATATTGGTTGGATAGAATCAAACACATAACCTCGAGGGTATGAGTAAATACTCTTAACAGCATCAGTTACAAGCTCGACATTCAATAACCTGGATACTGAAAATCACCAGAAATCTCTACAAGAACAATCTCCATTTTTGAAATGGTGAAACCTCAAGGAATCTCTAACAATAATCTGCACACCAACAATCTTGGCCATGAACTTGATGGCATTATGGCAGTCCCCACATATCCTCAAATTCTTAAATACCCGAATCGTCGATTCGCCGTTCATATTGAGTATCCCAAAAGCTACAGCAAGTTTCTCACTGTGGTTGCAAAGGATCCCCACTTTCTCCTCTTGATCCACATCTTGCAGAACAAAATCAGTGTTGGGGACATACCCTGCCAATCTCATCTTCTCACCCATGTCAACCATAAACTTGTATATCTCCTCACTACGCTCGTTACTCCTATCACCGGAAACAAAAGAGTAGACTCTATTTCTAACCTGAACCCAAGAACAACCCGGTGTTTTTGTGATTCCTCTGTCTCTCATCAACTTCCTGGTTTCCGAAGCTTCTTCCCATCGATTGGCAGTGACTAAAATGTTGGACAACAGTACATAGTTGCCGGGGTTATCTGGTTCAATTTCGAACAGCTTGTTTGCTGCAATTTTTGCTAAGTCCACATTTTTGTGCACTCTACATGCACCAAGCAATGCTCCCCAAGCACCGGGAGTAGGTTCCATTGGCATTCTTTGTATGAACTGATATGCCTCAACTAGACGGCCAGCACGGCTAAGCACATCAACCATGCATGAGTAATGATCTGCATCAGGTTCTATTGAGTGATCCGTCCTCATTGAATCAAAAACCACGATACCTTCATCAACCAGCCGAGAATGGCTACAACCGCACAAAACACCAGTGAAAGTAACAGAATTGGGCTTCACCTTGGAGTCCTAACATTTTTCTGAACAGCAACAAGGCTTCTTCTCCATCTCCATGCATTGAGTTTGCAATGATCATTGTATTCCAAGCAACTGTATCCCTTCTTGGCATCATATCAAAGACCCTCCGAGAAAGTTCCAACTCACCACATTTTGCATACATGAAAACCAAAGCTGTTGTGGTAGCCAAGTCCTCCATTAAAGAAGTCCTAAAGATGTAACTATGTACCTCTTTGCCTGCCCTTAAGCTTTCCAAATCTTTGCAAGCTGGTAACAAACTAGTAATTGTTATCTGATTGGGCTTAATTCCTGATTCTTGCATCTGTCCGAGCATTTTCAGAGCCTGTATTGTCTGCCCATTATTCAAGCACCCACCAATAACAGCATTCCATGAAGCACCATCCAATTTAACACCTTCCCTTCTCATTCTACAAAATAAAGCTACGCCCTTTTCGCAATCTCTGTTTGAGAAATATGCAGTTAGAAGTACATTCCAGGATACGACATCTCGTTTAGACATCATATCAAATACCAACTGAGCTTGTTTAATGCTCAGACAACTAGCATAGATATTTACAAGGGCGCTGCTAACGAAAACATTCTCTTCCATTCCATGTTTGAGAACAAACCCATGAATCTCTCTTCCCAATTTCAAATCTTTCAGTTCTGAGCAAGCAGGTAGGATTGAAGACACTGTCACAGCATTGGGTCTCACTCCATTCAACCCCATCTCTCGAAATGCCGCCAAACCTTGTCCAGGCAGCCCGCAGTTAACATAACAAGAACACAAAGAGGTCCAAGACACCACATCTTTCACCGCCATGCCGTTGAAAACCCGTCTCGCCCCATCAACATATCTACATTTTCCAAACATATCGACCATTGCATTACCCAAAGCGACATCCGAATGAAACCCAAATCGAATTGTTTCATCGTGAAGCTCTTTCGCATTTCTAACATCACCAAGAGCAGCACATGCCTTAGCAACTGATAAAAGCAGAAGGCTATCGGGTGCTATTCGCCGAGCTCTGAGTGAAGCGTAAAGACTTACAGATTCCTTGAGGAGCCCATGTCTCGTGTAACCTGATATGAGCACGGTCCACGCCCGCAGGTCTGGTTCGGGAATTTGGTCGAACAGGTGGCGTGCACGTTGTAGATCGCCGGAATTACAATAGATTTTCAAGAACCTAAGGCTCAGGTGAGGCGGGACGTTGGTGGGTAGTTTTGAAAGCATGTGATATTATTGTTTTAATGAATTTTGCATCTTGTAATCTCTACGGAGAATCTTCAAGTTTGCAAGTGCTTTTGAAAAGCAGTTGAGAAGTTCAGTTTCTTCGCGCCAGGACAGGTAATAAGCGGACGATGACCGTGTCTAGGCATGAAACGACATCCCCCTTGTGCTTATTACCTTTATTTTAGGCATGCAACGACATTCCGTCCGATTGCATTATATTTCTGTTTTTTTATTTTTTTTATTTTTTTTGATCAACTTTGTAAATTAATCCAATAGAAAAATAGTTTAACTGTTTAATTAATGTTGATAAAATTTCAGTGTTTATTTAAATAAGACGATTCGTCTATTTATTAGGTAACTATTAAATGATTAAACGATTTCACATTTTGTTGATGTCTAGCTGAATTGATTTTTAAATAGTGCTCTACAATTCGATGAACTAACATTTTCTTCCTAGCTTATGCACAGGAAGGTGCGTAGGACCTCGGTTCAGATTTTTATAAATAGGACCTTTTAGGTCATTTGCTAAAGGTCCTGCACCAACCACACCTTTGCATTCTATTGCCCGAGCTTTCCATTCTACGCAAGGCAGGATTTATCTTTCTAAAACAAGGGGAGGGCACTTCGTAAATCACCGGAATGAACATGTCTCCAGCATGATACCTTTTTCTACTACCCTGATATAAAACCTAGAGATTTGAGGTGTATGTGCAAGTGTAAATTAATCAAGCCCAATTCGATGTTCATTTGATTTCTTGTTCTTTGAGACAAAGAATGGAAGGAGGAGAGGGGTAGAGAGAGAGGAGTGAGAAGTTCTGCCGGCGACTCAACAACGCTTAGAAAGAAGGGGATTAAGCTACTGTCGAATAATGTGATAGAATTTTTATTTTTTGATCTTGGTAACGGCGCTAAAATTTTGTTGTGTTCTTTCTAAGAGCGAATATATTCTTAGTATAATATCACAAGTAAGGATGTCGAACCATATAGACTTATTAGACCTCTTCAAATTAATAACTCTATATAAACTAGGGTTTACATAGAGTTAGTACAAATTAAATTTGGTTTTTGAGATGAAAACTAAAGTTACTTAAAAATGTAGGAAAATGTAAAGATGAATTATAGCGAGATTCAGAGATGATGTGAATAGGACTAGGGATTTCTACTTCACCATTACAAGTTAATTAAAATGATACAACGAATACAAACAGAGCACAAACATAACAAAAAGGAGATGATCCCACACCACCAGGATCATGAAGAGGATGGGAGCTGCAGCAGATCGTTGTTGTCAAACACGATACGGCTGGTGCATGTGTAAATGTTATATTGAATACTTGAGCTACAAGCCTCTATAACTTATGATTGCAAAGCCTTTTATTTTTTCATAAGGTTTCGAAGTAAACCGAATACAACCGAACCTGACCTGAATTTCATTGGTTTAGTTGGGAATGGTTTCTCAATAACACTTGGAAGGTTCGGGTTTTAAAGTTTTCAGCTTGATAAGAGTGTGGCCGGCAGGACGGGCGGCCTGTTTCGTTTGATCCTGCAGAACCAACCCGATTCATGCCCATCGATCTTTGGATGAAGGCATCACTTTCGAATTTAGTCATGGCATCATCATATGCCTCTATTCCGCCAGCCTCTTTGGTGTCAGCTAAAACTGTTAGGTTCTTCAATCTTCATGGGCGGAGGCGGTACGACAACCCATGTAGGTCTCCCCCAACCGAAATCAATATCATAGAGAGGAAATCTGCAGCATGCTACTGTAGGTAGACATAACCATCCTTCCTGGTCTGGCAAGCCTTTGAACAAATCGGTTGAGGTAACTCCTGTGCTCCCCTGTTGTAGCCTTTTCACACTGGTCCTTCTCAATCTTTCTTAGTTCTTCTCGTACCTGCTTTACAATGTCATGACAAGATTCTTGATCATAGACTCCACTGCTGCTGCTGCTGCTGCTACTACTGATCAAGGGAGTTGTAAGGAAAATTTGATAAATATTTCTAAATGAACAGCGTGGCAATGGTGGATCAGTCCTGGGACGTAGGTTCACAGTATAGAATGCCCCATGAAACATATTCTCATCAATAGGATGATCATCCTTGGTAGCTTCTGTGAATCGCCTCCATATGTAAGCGGAAAAAGTTTCAACACGCGATGGACGTTTTTCACGATCATCTTCCGCTAAACCGGTATATTTTTCTCTGAGATCCTCTATAGTAGGGGTATTGAACACAAAGCTCTTTTTTACTGTATTTGTTGTGATACTGCCGAGCGTATCATAGCCAGTAACATCATTGGCAGGTGGGAAGACTGCGGCGGAAACAAACTCTGGACGCTCGATTTTTGCTTCATCTTTTTCTCCCCGGCCAATGGCAGCCCAGGTTTTTGTGAACATGAGCATGGATAACCCACCTTCCAACTTGCCGGAAGTGCATAGACCAATGGCAAAGCCGCCTCCACATTCAAAGATATTGAGCTGGACGCCTAGGGCAAATTCACTATTGTTATGATCATGTAGCTTAAATGGGACGAGTTTATAGAGTTCACCGGGCATTGGATTTTTGACAAAATCACAAAGTCGGCAGTTGGTTACTTGAGCTTCAAGGTAGGGTATACCACTATACCGTCGTCGTTGCATTCTACAGATGGTTGTCGATTTTGACTCGCCCGACTAGTGGGTAGAAAAGGGCCAACACCTCAGATAAGGATTTTTGACACGTCCCGATCCGATATTCCCTGAATACCAGGATAGTCACGTTCTGGCTGACACCCGAGGGTGACGAAAGCCATTTACTGCATGCAAATGCTGAAAACAAGGGGTAGATAAGGCTTATAAATATAAAAGAATAATGAATATGCATTTAAGGAACGTGTTTAGAGCATACAACTAACTTAGAACCCAGTGTTTGCCAACACATAACCCATTTGAAAACTGTACCTTGGGATTTAAGAGAAGTGGCTACCATGTTAATAGCGAACTTAAGTAAAAGAACTGAGAAGTCATCTTCCTTAAGAAACAGTATCTCTTGGGAGCTGTTGTAGTGCTCAATTCACCTCTCCACTTTTGTTTAGTAACAGATTTCTAGTCAAACAAGGTCAAAGTTGATGGAAAGAATGACTTTCAAGTGATCAACCTAAAAACAAAAGAGAGTACACACCTTTCGAGAGAAGTGTAAACGTTATCCAATTCTCGCCTTAACCGCGTTGTGGTGCCATCCCAGAGTGCACCAAACAGATCTGCTGGAAGTGTTTCGACAACCACGTACTCACAAACAAAAGAGTTCTCGAGTGAAGCAGTGAAAAGATGCATTGAGATGGCACATAACGTTGGAAAAGGATCGATATGATGCTTATGAATTATAGTAAGATAGTGATACAATCCGCTGACCTTATGTACTAAAACCTTCAACCAACTCTTACTAAAAGACCACACAAACCTCACACCCACGTGCTCGCGAATCGAAGGATCCTGGTATGAGGTAGTGGAAAGCTGCGTTGAGGCGAACACATCACATCGTCGAAAAGGTCTACCAGAGTACTATATGATGGTTATGAATTGTAGCAAGATAATGAGTGGTGACCATTCAATTCAGTGATGCAATATACTGCTCAACTGCACCACAATCTTCACTAGTCTCTTACCAAAATACAGCTTAAACCTTACACCCATGTGGAACTCTTTCTGGTAAGTCTAGGTAAGCTTGTGAAAAGATTATACTCCCAACATTTCTGTCTAAAATGATAAGAATTAGGCGCATACTTCCGCCGAATTGATTGATCGTGAATTCTTCACCGATTGAGTGAGAAACCATGTCGAGAAGGCTAAAATAACACTTAAGAATTTGAGGATCAAAACATTCCATTAAATCTAAAGTACAAGACATCTGAATGAGTGAGAAATCATGCCGAGAACAAATGTTTTTTTTTCTTTTTATTTTTATTTTTTTTTATTTTTTATTTTTTTTTACCCTTAGTAAAATGTTCTGGCATGATCCAGTTCATATTAAGAAACAAACCAGCGAAGGAAGGTGAAGATGCAGAAATAGTAGTCACTGTTTATGATTATTTGGTCAATCATCACAGTAAGATTGACTGGCTTCTTAGCCAAAAAAGAAATAGATCTAAGCTCAAGAGTAGTTAAGAACTGCATAAGATTGACGAGGCCAAAGGCATTTCGAAATTCACAATACTTTGTGAGAGTTAAATCAAAGTTCAAAAATTAAACATAGAACCTCTGAATCAACATAATGACAAGGAAGAAAGATACGAAGCAGTCTACATATGCATGCAGTGACACGATTGGCTACCTTAAAGTGATGCCTTGAGCAAACCAAAGCTTAATGAGTCCAGAAAAGTTCAGAGTAAAGCTCAATCTTCGTACAATGATGAATATGGTGGAATCTCAAGTCATTACACTGAAAATTACAAGGCTGAACAGTTAATGGACAAGAGCATTGGTCAGTTGGGCTACATGCAAGAGGCTAAGTTCACCTCCACCGAAAAGTACGTGGACAAGGTGCTAGGGTTTATCGCCGAGTACCAGACCCAAGTGAAGTTCAAGGAGTCTAGTTTATCTAAACAAGATTGGATCTTCATCATCCAAATCCAACTATAACAACAACAAGAATCGCAACTCATTTTGGAAATTAGTGAGAATAGCGTCTGCTACTAAGGAGTTTCCCAAGAAAAGCAATTAATGTAAATGAAGTCAACACTCGAAGAATTTCGTGTGAAGCTTACGATCAAAGGTTAGGGGGACTTGACTTCACCTGTTGAGGTAAGCAAGGAGGTAATCAATAGAACAATCGCTGAGAACTTATTCTAAATATCCACACAAATTTCCTTAGCGGGAACAAGTCTAAGAACATTGATTCGATCCCACCAAATCACCACTCACTAAGCTTTGTAACAACTATCGCTTACTAGCTTTCTCCAACACACACTTTGAATGTTTCGAGCAATTTCCAAATAGATATAACTCTGCTCACCATTCCTAGGAAACTGCATGCTACAGAGTGATATCACCGTTTCAGAACTCCAGTTGGTCTTAGCCAATTCATATAGTCAAGATTTTTCCGTTTCCCAAGATTTCGATGTAGAGCTGACTCCGCCCACAATTCCCAGGGAACGCATATTGCAGAGTGGCATTGCCATTTTGGATCTACAGCTGGTCTTGACCAGACTTCCTCAAACTGAGATTTCTAACACACGTCGCTTCCAAGTAACACCGACTCTGCTCGCCATTCCTAGGGAATGCATGTTGCAAAGTATCGATCCGATGTTGAAAGTCATCCAACAATCCACTTCATCACTACTAAGGCACAATCCAAACATGAATTCTTGTATTTCAACCAGAAGGTGACAATTCAAACAGAGAAAGGTTTGCACAACTGCGCCGAATGACACCAAATTCAGAAGTTGTGACATCCAAATGACGTTATGACAGACACACTACTACAGTAACAGAAGGTCCTAAGTATGCTCTGAACAAAACCACGCTGTGATACCAATCTGACATGCCTCGATCCCAATATTCCTCGAATACCAGGATAGACACTTCTTGGTCGACACCCGAAGGTGACGAAAGCTATTTATTAAGTGCAAATGCTAAAAACAAGGGGTAGATAAGACTTATAAATATAAAAGAATAATGAATATGCATTTAAGGAATGTGTTCAAAGCATACAACTAACTAGAACACTAAAAGAAATAATATAAAATTGACTGAAACAAAGGATGAATCCTACACCAAGAGGACTCGAAGATACCAATGCGGAAGTGCCTTGACGCTAGGATTGTATACCTCGATTCTAAGTCCTGAAGGGGGCGCAAAACAAACATGAGTGGACCAAGTTGATACATACATATATATATATATATATATATATATTAAAACAGTTATCAACGTACTAAAACCCAGATTTTATGAAAACACGTATATATCATGATAAACATAGGTTTTCCGAAACCTAGCATGCCATGCAATGTCTCAAATCATAACTTGTATATATAATAATCATTAGTGAATATTCGATAACCCCTAGGCCCCATGCCGGCTCCTCGTCCCTATGCTAATAGCCAGAGGAAACATACTCCAGGCCCTATGCTAACACCAAATCGTCGCCCAGGATGGAACGAAATCTATCCCTACGTCCCATAGCGGAATAAAGACCACTAGGTAAGTACAAAACCATTGAACTTACATATATTGAAAAACAACTTCATAGTATAAAGTCATCCATCATCTATACTATAAAGAGGTGTTCTAAACATGTTCTAAATATATATCATCATCCATCATATATTCTATAAGAACACGAGTTGTAGAAAAAATAATAATAATTCAATCTAGCCTCAGTAAGCATGTTATCTCATAAAACTTAGTCATCAAATCATGCTTTTCATGTACGTATTTCTATTATCAAAACATGCATTTTTAGAAGGGGGTCCACTCACAGTACTTAGTTACCAAAGAGCTACGCAACTAGCGAAGACGGAAACGCCACAATTAATTGCCCCTAAGCGCATAAAGGGTACATTTAGTCAAACTCTACTCAAATGATTGAATTTGAGAAAACGGACTTCAAAAATAGGTTCAGGACGTCGAAATTAGCGTAGGAGGGGTCCCGGACGAAAACCCGAAAAGTCAACAATCAAAGTCAACGTTGATCGGTCAAAGTCAAAGTTAACGCTGACCGTTGAACGAGTCAACAGTCAGACCGGTCAAAGTCAACGGATCCAGGTCAAGGGTTTTGGGTTGGACCGGGTTGGGCCAAAAGGGTTAGGACTTAGGTTAGGTTTAGGTTTATGTAGGTTGGGCTTAGGATAATGGGTTAATGGGTTAAGGGTTTAGCTATTTTGGTGGGTTGGGATTTAATGGGTTTAGGATTAGGTTTTGGGTTACTCGGGCCTAGGTGGGAGGCCCAAAGGCTGAGGCTTAGGTTTTAAAAGAAAAGGGCTGAGGGAAAATTGGGTTTAGGGCTTGGGCTCAGGGCCCCTAATAGCTCACGGCCCAAAGGCCTTTAACAAATAATTTAAAATAAAACAAAATAATAAAAAGGGGTTTGGGCTTGGGTCTGAAATAGGCCTAAGGCCCGATGGTCCTTTGAGATGGCCTGAAGGCCTAAGTTCCTTGGGTTTCTGGGCTTGGTAGGAACGGCCCGAAGGGCTTGGGTTTGGTGGGTCTCCAGACCTTAAGAAAAAGAAGGCCGGATTTCGGCTGGAAAATTGAACAAACTTTAAACGTTAATAATTTTGTCAATACTCAACCAAATCGAGTGATTCAAAAAACGAGAATCATAGCTCTCGATGAGACGAAGAGAATGGTACCTCACATGACGTCTAACTCGCTGTGGTTTGGCCGAAAACTGGGTAAGATTCAAATGGATATAACTTCTTCAATACTTAATGAAATTGGGTGATTCAAAAAGGAAAGTTGTAGTACTTAGCGAGATGAAGAGATTGATACCTCGTGCGCTGGCCAACTAGTCATGATTTGGCCAAAAATTTCCTCGAAAGGGGCGGTGCTCATTGGAAAACTGGGGAAGTTTTCCCCTGTGAGGTTCCTACGTCGAAACATCGATAACACTTCTTAAAACCACTTCCCAACATACATTAAGACATGATATACAACTTTTG